CAGTGGTTATCTACGCAAGATTCGCTTTCGTTTAATCGTATCCACAAATTGACAACAATTTCGGAAGATGCAGTACACGGTTCCTCGAGGTGTAATACACATTGTAGCAGGAAATTCGGCGGTCTCGAAGTTGAAACGATATATTACATAAGGAAGCGACTGCGAACGATTATGTGTGCAAGGTGCAAGGAACCAGTCGAAAGTATTCCGTTCGAATTCGTTTAATTCCAGTCGCGTGATACTCTTCGAGATACGATTTAATCTCTTAAGACCGAATTTTGCGGAACCACAAGTTGGAGGTCTCGGAACTTTGCAACATTGTGTGATATAACAAAATGGCTGTCAACGATTATCTCGACATGGCGCAGTGAACGAGTCGAAAGGGGTCCCGTTCGGGACCGTTCAATTCGATTCGCAAACTGATAACGGTGCATGAAGGAACGAGACAATTTCCAAGATGCGTGGAAATTTTAAGAGACGATTTCACGTGTCAACTCGGATGTTTTAAGACTCCGTAACGTTGCATGACCAGAAATTTAGATGCAGTGCAAGTTTATCTGAACCTGTTCAGGGGCGTAGAGTTTGTACAAGGTATCCGAGGTTTTTCTATGTAAACCTAGCCAGTGAGTTCTACAGATGAAGATAAAGCTAGACTGTTACGCGACGAGGGGCTCACGCATGGTTCATCAAGAAACTGAAACTTCTATGACACGATAAAAATTATAATATCGTGATATAATTAGAACGAAAATGCAAAACACAAAAGTGACAGTGCAATTTAGCGTGTTTCATTTCAACTAAAAATAATTTATTTAAAATCGTTGTTTTCGATACTGTCATAAGAAAATAAAAATAGTATCGATTTATTCTAAATAAAGGAATTTCAGGTAATGAGTTATTACGCAGTTCCTTTATTTTACATTTGGTTAAAATTTAAATCCCAAATTTGAATCATAAAAATTATAATCAACAGAAAAATTTACTAATTATTATACAACAGTTTATGATAATTATAGTGATGGAGTATAATTCATTTTTCTTAAGAGTAAACAGGATTTATTATAAAAATAACAAAAAATTAAATAAAAATTTCTATTATACCAATCCAAAGATAAACCACACGTAAAATTTGGCATCATGAATATAGCTATACAAAAATGATCTATTATTACTATAGACTACTATAGAATTACCTGCCATAAAATTCTATTACCAGAAAGTTACACATAATAAATTAATCAAAAATATTATTGTTCCTAAAAATTATAATCAACAGAAAGATTTACTAATTATTATACAACAGCTTATGATAATTATAGTTATGGGAACAGTGACAAGGCTCAATTCTTTTTTCCAAAGAGCAATTATAAAAATGACAAACAATTGAAATACATAGAGTAAATACAAATTTATTATAAAAATAATAACAATTGACATAAAATTTTCTATTATACTAATCTACAGATAAATCACACGTGTAAAATTTTGCATCACGAATACAGCTATACAAAAATGATCTATTATTACTATAGACTATTATAGAATTACCTGCCATAAAATTCTATTACGAGAAAATTATACATAATAAATTAATCAAAAATATTACTGCTATCTAACAAAACAATAACTTTGAATCAACGAGTACGTGACACGGAAAATTCCGAGTTATATAAATAAATTTCATATTCCAAAATTAAAAAATATATTCCACGAAGAAGAAATTATTCATTTGAACAGAGAATCTCGGTGAAACGATAAAAGAATTTTTCAAAGAAACAGGGTCACTCCTATCCAATAACGGAATATCTTCGATTAAGCAGTGGAAGATTTCTACCGGAAATTTGTCGTCGCGACAAGACATAAATTGTATTTTATTCATCAAGAGGTGCAGGCTATCTCTCCTCGCATGATATCGATTCAAGGATAAGCAAGAAGTCGAAAGCGATGAAGTAATGAGGGGATAATAACTCGACACGGAAATGCATATGTGATGTATGCACTCGATTCCGTGCTGCAAGGCCAATACACGCGTGTCCACGCGCACGCATACGCAACAGCGAAGAAAGTCGAGAAAGGAATCCTCGTATTACCCTTAATCATGATACGCTTCTTAATAAGAGAAAAGAACTCTTTACATACGCGCCGATACTATGTTTCAAAAGAGCAACATAAAATATGGTATTAAGTCCACGAGATAACACGCGACAAGATGGACGCAACAAAAGAGCGCGCATCGTTAAACGAAATTGATACTCACGCGAAAAATTTTGCAAGGTAGCATCGAAGATCAAAGATCCATCTCGAGATACCATTTTCTTTTCCATAACCGAAAGAAAGAGTTTCACTTCATTCCCTGTATGCAAAATTTCCTATAACCATCGACATTTTCCAGATAGGATCGATTCCATTCTTCAGGTACACGTACCCTATTTGGGGAATATCGATGATTAATAGGGAATTTTGTATGTAGGGTTTATACAGAGTTCCTTTTTATTCCCTATATACGAAATTCTTTATAACTGTCGATATTCTTCAGATAGGATTGATTTTATTCTTCAGGTACAAGTACCCTATTTGAAAAATATCGAAGGTTCATAGGGAATTTTGTATATGGGGTTTATACAGAATTTCTTTTTATTCCCTATATACGAAATTCTTTATAATTGTCGATATTCTTCAGATAGGATCGATTCGATTTTTCAGGTACAAGTACCCTACTTGGGGAATATCGATGATTAATAGGGAATTTTGTATGTAGGGTTTATACAGAATTTCTTTTTATTCCCTATATACGAAATTCTTTATAACTGTCGATATTCTTCAGATAGGATCGATTCGATTTTTCAGGTACAAGTACCCTACTTGGGGAATATCGATGATTAATAGGGAATTTTGTATGTAGGGTTTATACAGAATTTCTTTTTATTCCCTATATACGAAATTCTTTATAACTGTCGATATTCTTCAGATAGGATTGATTCTATTCTTCAGGTACAAGTACCCTATTTGAAAAATATCGAAGGTTCATAGGGAATTTTGTATATGGGGTTTATACAGAATTTCTTTTTATTCCCTATATACGAAATTCTTTATAATTGTCGATATTCTTCAGATAAGATCGATTCGATCTTTCAGGTACAAGTACCCTATTTGGGGAATAACGATGATTAATAGGGAATTTTGTATGTAGGGTTTACACAGAATTTCTTTTTATTCCCTATATATAGAATATTCGCTATGATCGTTAATATTGTTTAAATAGGATCGATTTGATCCTTCAGGTACACGTACCCTATCTGGAGGATATCGACGGTTATAGGGAATTTTGGATATATGGTTTATACAGAGTTTCTCTTTATTTCCTATATACAGAAAATTCTCTATAATCGTTGATATTCTTAAAATAGCACTGATCCAATTTTCAGGTACATATATTCTATTTGGAGAATATCGACGGTTATAGGGAATTTTGTATATACGGTTTATATATAGTTTCTCTTTATTCCCTATATATAGAAAATTCCCTATAATCGTCGATATTCTTCAAATAGCATCGATTCAATCTTTCAGGTATACATATTCTATTTGAAGAATATCGACGGTTTATACAGAGTTTCTTTTCATTCCCTAAATACAGAAAATTCCCTATAATCGCCAATATTCTCCCGATAGGATCGATGCGGTCCATCAGATACAGGTACCTAATCGCGACAGCTCTCAATGATCACTGTTTCCAAATATGTTTATCCTGTGTACATCCTAAAGTCTCCGATGATAGCTGGATAGATAGCTACGTGTGTGCATGTATAATTGTGTCCACGTCACCTTCATCTTGGGGGGAGCATCCAGCTGTGAACACGTGTCTAAGCGAATGTAAATAAGTATCACAGTGCGTGTATTATGGTATCGACGATAAAGATAGATCCTTGGATCATAGCTGCACTCTGACGAGTCCCTTTAAGCGAAGAAGACTATGATTCCAACGAAATCACCGTTTTAACGAAGGATTCGACGAGATCAGAGTCCCACTACACCTCCCAGAGTCTCCGATGCTAGGTAGCTGTGCGTGCACACCTGAACGCGCGTAATTGTTTCCAACTCGCGTTCATCTTGGACAGGACGTCAATCTCTAGACACGTGTCCAAGTGATGGTAAACGAGTATCATAGATACGCGTGTTGCTTTAACGAGGGTAGATAATAAGTCCACTTGGACGAGTGGCTCTGGGCGAGGAAGACTATGCTTGGAACGAGATGAGGGATTCGGGGAGAAGAGAGTTGGGAGAAAACCGAGGGAGTATCGGGAGACCTGTCGCAAACAGGTCTGGATCTGTCCTAGCCGAAAACCGGGCGAATATCCACCCTTTTGATGGTGCGTGGTAAAAGGGCCGAAAGAACCCCGGCGGCTTCTCGTCTCTCTGGGTGGAAACCGGAGTAGGAGCCAAAGGAAAGGAAGGATCCACCGAGAGGAAGGTCTACGAGCGAGGGGGTGACCGCGGGGGTGGGTGAAGAGCCTGTGCAGGTCGGGGTGGTAGGTTGGATTAGTGTCGGAGGGTGTCAGAGGAGGGAGAAGAGCGGCAGATGGTCGGCGTGGACCCTGACGTGGGAAGCTCCGAATTCTCCAAGTTCCCACAGCCAGAGTGCACCTGCCCTCCCCACTCTGGCACCCCGTCCTGCTCGGCCGGGCCTATATAAGGTCCGGGGTTGCTCGTCTAAGGCATCATTCGCTCACTAGCGTCTCGTTCCAAAGCAACAGAAGAAACGCACCTACGTACGCACCAGCTACGCACACGTTACACCGTTCGCTCTCATCCTCTCTGACACTCTCGAATCAGCTCCGTTCTGAACGCGCTTTTTCGAGATTTCGGAGCAACGAGTTCGACGTTCGCCGCGTGATCCACGGTTCGTTCGACTGCCCAGTGTGCACACGGACGTGAAACGCTGCTTTAAAACCGGTTCAGTGCCTTCGCGGAGAATCAGCAAAGGAGCCCATCCAGCAAACATGGCCGCCGCCACTATGAGCCACGTGTTCGACTACGAGAACGAGCTGAACGACAACCTCTACAACCTGAAGATGTCCGGCAAGAGCCCGGCGAGCAGCAAGCGGGTGAAGAGCGTGCTGAAGCCGATCCTCAGGCTGTTGAAGAAGAAGACCAACAGAGGCAAATACGCGAAGGGGCAGAAGGCGATGCCACAGGTGGAGATCTTCACCGAGGAGGTTGACAATCAGAACAATGCCAACGAGGCTCTGGAGAGGAGACTGCTGGCAGAGCTTCAGGACGCGGAGGAAGGAGCTGCCATCACTGTCTGCCTGGACGGTCAGATGACGGTCGTACCGGTTGTACCTGGTCAGTGCTACGTGCCCGTTCATTTCGCGCACACCCACGCAGGGGACTTCTACTGGACGACCCTGAGCCTGGCCGACAGTGACCTGTGCTACAAGGAGCGCGCCTTCTCGCAGCATCAGACGCCCGAGATGCAAGTCGCGTGAAGAAAACGGGATCATCGACATCGCGATGGACCTCATCTACCTCATACCACGCAACGAATAGACCCCACAGTCCTCGTCGTGCCTCCGAGTGACAGACGACACAGCTTCCTGGGGGACCAAGGTCAAAGTACGAGAAGTCGGTCACGTCGACCAGCATGAACAACACTTGGTCCTGAGGACAAACGTCCTCCCTCGTCCTGTCAGACTGCCTTTAGATAAGATGATATCGAAACTGTGATAGATAGATGTAGTTTCCTAACTGATCCTCGCTCGCTGTCAACGAAATTGTGAAGTTTCTCACGCGCACCTGCGGCACTTTGGCTCAACGATCAGTTAGAGAGAAAAATATTCTATTTTTTTTTTTTTTTTTTCTACTTTACTCCTTGTTTTTTTTTTTACTTCTCGATCAAATATGGCGACGCTGCAGTGGCTCGATCGCTATTGTGATATTCGTACCTACTAGGTTAGTTATCTTAATGTATACATTGTGATATTGGCTTTAACCACGTCGTAGCAGACGACACTTCCTACTGTCTTCCAATTTGTTAAGAGTATAAATAAATCTACTTGTAAGCATCAAACGAACCTGTTTTCATTGCTCATATCCTTGTACTTTCGCTGTTAAGCCTAAGTTAAGTCAACGCGCTGTCAACCTAACCTAACTTAGCCCTCGCGAGGCCTATGACGCCGAGCAGGCTTCTAAACTCGTTCGAATGTTCCCGCGAAGAGATAGTAGAATCGTGAAAGGGGGTCTCTCGAGGGAAACTCGAATTATTTTCGATTCACCTGCGATCTTTGGAAATCCTCGGACCCTCGTAACCGGTAGGATTTTTCGACAAAAGGTGCCTCGCGTCTGAAAAGGGTCCATTCATACCTGAAACTGGTTTAAGGGAGCCTCCGGGGGTTCTTTCAGCCCTTCGATCCGCGGAGAAAGAGATTCGAGAAATCTTTCGAGAATTTCCGACTCGCTGGGAAAGTTTTGGCAGGAGGTAGCAGGGGGCTGCGTCAGAATTTCGGACAATACTTTCTCCGGCGGAATTATCGGAAACTCGGAAAAAGTTTCCCACGAGATGGGGACGCTTTCTAGAGACTTCCACCGTGATTCGGAAAGCTCGTGAACGAGCGAAATTTGAACAGAGCGATGAAAAATTTCGGTTCTTTCGCTCGGTTCCTCTTCTTTCCGGGTAATTAAGGAATCCTTTATCTTCTTGTACGCTTTCATTCAATTATCCTTTTTTACGCAGTTAATCAATGTACACACCTGTGATTCTTCGTACCAAGTAGAACAGGTTTCTTACGCAACGAGCCACAAACAGATTCACTTCTTTTATTTATTTATTTGTTTATTTTCTTCTCTTTTCTTTTCTTTCTCGTCGCTCTTATCGAGTTAAAGATGAAATTCGTTTGAATATTAACGAAATTTCTTCCGCGATTATTCGATATAAATTAAGTTTATACAATTTTTTAATTTATTTATTTGTTTATTTTTCTTTTTTGGTTTCTTTTTCGTCGCTCTTATCGAGTTAAAGATGAAATTCGTTTGAATATTAACGAAATTTCTTTCGCGATTATTCGATATAAATTAAGTTCGTACGATATTTTAATTTGTTTATTTGTTTATTTTTTCTTTTTCGTGACTCTTATCGAGTTAAAGACGAAATTAGTTTGAATATTAACGAAATTTCTTTCGCGATTATTCGATATAAATTAAGTTCGTACGATATTTTAATTTGTTTATTTGTTTATTTTTTCTTTTTCGTGACTCTTATCGAGTTAAAGATGAAATTCGTTTGAATATTAACGAAATTTCTTTCACGATTATTCCATTTAAATTAACCCTTTGCTCTCGACAATTTCTTGGCCAAAGAAGGGTAAAGAAAGAATTGAAAAATTTTCTGCTATAAGGTTGATGATATTTTTTGATCAGTAAATAAGAAATTGTATAATAATTTAATTTTGGTACCTGGCACACTGTTACGTTATTTTAAATTTGATGGACTAATTAATATCGAGCTTCGAAATTTTATCAAATGGCGACTGAAGGGCGCCTCTTGAGTGCAAAAGATTAAAGGGTTAAGCTCGTTCAATTTTTTTATTTATTTATTTCTTTATCTTTTCCTTTTTGTTTTCATTTTCGTGACTATTATCGTTATTCGTTTGAATATTAACGCAATTTCTTTCACGATTATTCGATATAAATTAAGCTCGTGCGATATTTTTATTTATTTATTTTTTTATTTTTTCTTTTTCGTCGCTCTTATCGAGTTAAAGATGAAATTCGTTTGAATATTAACGGAATTTCTTTCACGATTATTCAATTTAAATTAACCCTTTGCTCTCGACAATTTCTTGGCCAAAGAAGGGTAAAGAAAGAATTGAAAAATTTTCTGCTATAAGGCTGATGATATTTTTCGAGCAGTAAATAAGAAATCGTATAACAATTAACACGTAGAATTATTTAATTTCGGTACCTCGTACACTGTTACGTTATTTTAAATTTGATATATTAATTAATATATCGACCTTCGAAATTTTATCAAATTCAGAGGCGACTGAAGGGCGCCTCTCGAGTGCAAAGGGTTAAAACACGTAGAAGATATTAGTGTCCATTTTTATCCACAAACACTCCAATTTGACATACCTAATCTTCGTCATACCTCGATCAATATTCCACTAGCTACCTAGCAATTCGATATCTTCTGACCCCTTCATTTATGTAAAATTATTAACTCACCACGATATTAATTAAAAATGTTAATACAATTAAAAATTCCAATCAAAAACCTAACTCGTCCCAAAACAATTAAATTCGTCAATTTGCAGATTTTTTATTATTATTAAAACTTTACAATTTGTCCAATGGACAAATTCATTTGGTAAATTCATTTAACGTGTGATTCATAGCACGTGGGTGACAGCCCCATTGAGATATCACCACAAGATTGTTCTTTGTGTTTTGTTATTCGGATACCAGGTTCGTGGGATGCTTTCTTTTTAATCTCCTCACTGTCGGTGTTTCGTACACTTTTACAGCAAGTTGATTAGGGTGTGCTACAATAACTGCAATTAAATGATTAATAATTTCTTTTATGTATCTATTAATTAAATTAAATTTTATATTAATTAATCTAAATTTTAATAAAAAGATAATATTAAAGAAAAATGAGAATTTACTTGTTAAATTTATTCGAAATATTTGGTCCAATAACCAATTATAATTATTTATTCCCATTCTCAATTTCCAAATATAAACTCTGTTTACCTGCGTTTCATAACTTTTTATTTTAAACATTTTATTTTACAACATTTGCGTTTCATAACTTTTTATTTTAAACATTTTATTTTACAACATTTGCGTTTCATAACTTTTTATTTTAAACATTTTATTTTACAACATTTGCATTTTATAACTTTTTATTATTAACTTTTCATATTTCCCAATATAAACTCTGTTTACCTGTTCTTCATGATTGTGACGCCTCTCGAGTGCAAAATGTTAAAGGGTTAATTGCTCGTGCAATTTTTTAATTTATTTATTTGTTTATTTTTTCTTTTTTTGTCTTCGTTTTCGCGACCCTTATCGAGTTAAAGACGAAATTCGTTTGAATATTAACGGAATTTCTTTCGCGATTATTCGGTATAAATTAAGCTGGTGCAATTTTTTCGTCGGATTCGAGGAGTAATTATCGAAATTGCACGGTCAATTACACCGACATGCCGGTTTCGCGCGTAGCGTGGTTTTACGTAAGTTTGGAAGAAAGGGAAAGTAAATCTGTGACGAGTATGAGAGAGGCTCTTCGCACGGGGTTATTAGAGGAGAGAGAGTATTATTGAAAATACGCGCACGTGTCGCCCATATGTGAGAGGCACATGTCCATCGGGGTGGAAGGGGTGAGTGAATTCGCATGATTTCCCGTGGCAGGTCGGCGGGGGTAGTGGACCCTGGGAAAGCAACAAAGGAAGACGGGGTGCTTGATGCTCGTGTATCAGATGTAATACAATAATGGACTGGGGTGCATAATTTCGAGGATGGCTCGTTGATAGGGTTAACCCAATTCTCTGTTTGTTTAATGGTCAGCAGACCGCGAGTGACCGACTGGATATCGAATTCTATGGACTTTTCTCGGGGGTGAAAGCGCAAAGCGCAAGTGTTGGGCTGGAGTGGTGAGTGGCGTGAGTTATTGGTGAGTTTAATTAACCCCTTGTAACTAAAACTTTAGAATATTTCAATATTATAATAGGATATTGAGTTACATTATATTATTGGTTATATTAGTTATTTAAAAAATTGTAATATATGATAATTGTAATTTTGTATAGAACATGTTGTAATTAGAATTGAACAATATTTCAATATTATAATAGAATATGGAATTTCATTATATTGTAGGTTATATAAATTTTATAAGAAATTGTAATATATCGTAATTAAAATTTTCTACACAATAGCCTGTAACTAAAATTTAACAATATTTTAATATTATAATAGAATATTAAATTGCATCACGTATGTTGTATAAATTTTATAAAATATTATGATATATAATTGATACTTTGTATATAACACTCTGTAACTAAAATTTAATAATATTTCAATAGCATAATAGAATATTGAATTACATTATATTTCAGGCTACATTATCTATTTAAAAAATTGTAATATATGATAATTACAATTTTGTATGGAACACTCTGTAATTAAAATTTTATATTTCAATACAATAATAAAATAATTAATTACATTATATTTTACGTTATGTAAATTTTATGAAAAGTTATAGTATATAATAATTAAAATTTTGAATATAAGCCCCAGTAACTAAAATTTAATAATATTTCAATATTATAATAGAATATTAAATTGCATTATGTTGTGTATTATATAAATTTGATAAAATATTGTAATAAATAATTAAAATTTTGTATAGAATCTCCTGTAACTAAAATTTGATATTTGAATACTACGAGAGAATATTGAATTACATTACGTTGTATATTAT